CAATGCAATGCAATGCAATGCAATGCAATGCAGTGCAATGCAATGCAGTGCAATGCAATGCAATGCAATGCAATGCAATGCAATGTAATGCAATGCAATGCAATGCAATGCAATGCAATGCAATGCAATGTAATGCAATGTAATGCAATGTAATGCAATGTAATGCAATGTAATGCAATGTAATGCAATGTAATGCAATGTAATGTAATGTAATGTAATGTAATGTAATGTATAATGTATAATGTATGCGTATGCAAGTATATGTATATGTATACGTATATATGTGTATGTGTATGTGTATGTGTATGTGTATGTGTATGTGTATGTGTATGTGTATGTGTATGTATGTCTGTATGTCTGTATGTGCTGCATGCTGAATAATCAGTAAACGTATCTTATAGGGGTGAAGCAGGTGCTTACCACCCAACAGTTTTCATTCTACCTGTTGGAGCAACACGTGTATGGGAAGAGCCCTGTCGACAGTTCCCTGAACTTGTCACCGCGCCTTCAATGCGAGCCAAGGTCGAATCATCTCAGCTTCCATGAGTATGGCCAGTATGGCAGGTACTCTGGCGACGAGGAGATGTCGTTTCAGTTTCAGGGTGCAACATCGATTCCAGATATGCGCGTCAGGAGACGCTGCACTCTACATCAGTGCAGCGACAGCCGATTCTCAACTATTTTTGGCTGGGTGACATCTCTAACACAAGATGAGTCGGCTAATTTTAATGCTGGCCAGACTTCATCTGCGCCCAGTGTTGGATATTGGACACCTGCTGTTTTGTCAAAGCCGATGTCGTCAAGCTGCTGGGTCCTTGCACAGGGGTTTTACTTCAATGCCTTGACCTAACGTTGGGGCTCTTGGGCCGATTTAGGCGGTGGAGTCTTCTCTTCTTTGTCGGTAGGGATTCCCAGAACCTCAGTGACCCGACAAAGCGCCCCACCCGGAGGACCCCATGCTGGAACGATACCATGGTCGAATCGAACGAGGACAGCTCAGGCGCTCCCGTTGCGCAGGTCCTTTCTGAATGCTAGACGGCAGATCTTGAGCAGGCTTCAGGCTGCAAAAATGCAAGCAAGTTTTCGGAACTCACTGCCGATTCCACGAAGCGTGGGCAAGAGAGTGGACCCGAGTCGCGGGATTTGCATGGAGTGGCTGTTAAAGCGGCCGCAGCCATCAGTATATATGATGCGGTATGATGCATGTATCACAGAGGGAGGCTGCTGCGTGGTGGGTCACCATGTCGTGATTCCGAAGACCTTGCCTGTCAGGTTCTGGGGCCTCAAACAAGCACGCCCTGAGCAGATTCAGCCTGTCGTGTCCTCAGAAAAGGCACTTGGCTGTGCGTTTGTCAGGCTCTCTAAGGCAAAGAAAACATGATGAACATAAGGCCTGAGGCTGTAACAAGAGCAGGTTGACATCACGTCGCTGTAGGGCCCCTGTGCTTTGCCTGACCCAAACTCAAAAACGTCTCAGAACTACAGATGTGGTGCAGGACCGGGCGGTCCTACCATGTGCTATCGACACAAGAACAACTCCGAAAGAAAGAGGGAGAGACATCGGACTTTCTCGTTTATCGCACTGTTATGCACTTGCCTCACAAGCCAGAGGCAGCAAAAGGTGTCACACGCGAGGCAGATCGCCTTGACCACACTTCACTCGTCGAATCTCGTTCACACAACCTCCGAAAACTGTAGCTGTGCCACAGACCAAAGGGGTGTGCCCCTGCACCGAGGGCGTGCCCCTTCGACCCGACCACAGAAAGCCAGCATAAGAGATGGGGCAATAGCAAAACTTGCCGTTAGCAGGCACACGAAGGATGTGAAAGCAAGCAGTGGCGATAAAACCGGTGGCCTGCTCGGCTTCAGAAGCCAAGGTGAGGCAATCGCTCGACAGATGGCAAGAGGCGAGCGAACTTTCTGCTCAGCAATCTGCTCTGTCTACGGCTTGTGACTGCAACCTGATGCCAGACTCACGGTGGAGAGACGCCCCCGTACATCCTCGCTTTTGCAGCCCGGCATAAAAGTCAGGCCGCAGCTAGCCTAGAGTCTATGCATTTGGATGCAACGCAGTGGAAACTGGCATGCTGCATGTCGCTGGCAACCAAAGCCGGCGGTATGGTCATAGCCAGTACGAGCACAGCGAGTTCGCAGACCTGGTGAGGTCGTCAGAGCGAATGGTTACATTTATCTTGTATTATTAATCCTATATCAGTTGTTCATACTGTACTATAATATATTATATTCTATTCTGTTCTATCATACTATCTTGTTTTATATGATTGACTTCCCAGGTGAACTCCATGTCTGGCAACCAGCGAGTCTCTCAGGACGTGGTGTCGGGAGTGGATCGTCGTGCAAGGTTCATTTTCTGTTTCAATCGAACCCCTGATTACCCCATTATATACATTTCTATATACAATAATGTTATAGCATATTTTTCCAAAGCCTGAAATCGTGAGACCCTTGACGAAAGCCCTTAAACCCTAAAGCTTTCAACTGCAGTGAGGAGTGACTCCTCACATTTTGTCAGTTGAGATCAGAAGATCCGTGGCTTGCCAGTGCTGTACTCCCAAAGTATCTTCACTTGTGGGCATTGACCCCTAGCCACGCGAGAAGGAATACAAGCTGTCAGTCCAAATCCCCCTATCAAGAAAGGCAAAGGCTCCAAGGCTGCAGCCCTTGCTGAGATGTTCAGTAGGAATCCCAAAATGATCTTTGGCGAGCCATATATTACAAGATATTATAACAACACTTTAGCACAATATAGTCTAACAGTTTAATATACCCTCCCACACTTGCCTGACCTGCTGCCGTTGAGTGTACTTTTTGCGGGTGCTGGACGGAAGCTTGGGGCTTTGTGTGACCATGCGGTCTCCACTCAGTCCTGCGATCTGCCCCTGATATTTGCCCCAGTCCTGCATCAAGCCGCACCTCCCGAATTTTAGGGTTTAGGGTTTAGGGTTTAGGGTTTAGGCAAGAACTGTCACTCGGCCCAGGGCTCATGTTTCTTCCTCGTTCCATCTTTTACTTTGTATTGCTGCTCTTCTTACAGCCGAGGGCACTGGGTGAATCTCTCTTTCCCCGTTCCTAACCACCAAACGTAGACATTGCACCACGCCGGAGAACCCTCGAATGCCAATCGTAGAGGTAGCTATTTCTGAAGCATGCTGCGCGGCCCTTCTGCCGGCAGGCCATCAAGACTCAGCTGAACACTCTCTTGGGCCACCAGCTGGGAACTTGGCTGTGAGATGTCGGGTTCTAGAGCTGCTTCGATGCTTCTTGTCGAAACGTGTTCCTGCCGTACTGACGAAGGCATTCCAAGAATATATGCCGCGCCTACAGTAGCATGAAGGAGCAACGTGTGACGACATTTGTGGGTGAGCTGTGCCAGCTCCGGGAGTGTCTATGGCTCGGTGACATTGCTTAGCTGCCTCGAATGGGGGGAGTACAGACTGCGGTGCAGAAGTTGGTACGAACTTCCTGGTGTGTGTGTGTGTGTGTATGTGTGTGAAGGGTGAGGTTGTGCAGACTGCATGCTCAAAGTAAGCAGTGGATGTGTCTGAGTTCTCCGTCAGTGGGTAGTAGCAAGCAGTGTCAGTTGCCATACTGCGAAATGAAACAGTACAAGCAGGCTTCGAGTTGTGTCTTGCAGTGGCTGTGAGGAAGGTGGAAATCTCGTGAGCGGTGGATTCTGGGTTGCGTAAGGACACAACATGAAGTGGCTTACAGCGTGTAGCAGCGGATCCGGCAGTTACGGCTTTTGAATTTGCAGGTTTCACGTCTCGGGCCGCGGCGAGGCCACGAGTCAATCCTGCAATTGCGGCAAGCCTAGTGAAGCCACCCGACGTGTCACATTAGCCGTGTTTGCTGCTAGGGGGGTGGGGTCCTAAGGCTCCCCCTCACTTCTCCTGTCTGGATTAGGGACCTGAAGCCACAGGTGGCTTGGGGCGCTAGGGCCGCTTTGGGTTGGTTGGTCAACTTAGGTCTTTGGTAGTTTGGTTTTGCTGGCTCATAGCTGCACTTACTGAGCCGGGTGGGGCAGGGATGTGGAAGTGAATCTCGTGGGATACTACAGAACCGCCCTCACCCGGTTTTTGCCTCGACCAAATTGGTATTCAACTGCATCTGCAGGATAGAAACGGCGACAAAATAAGTTTGCAACATCTACCAATCTCAATTTCGGGTCGGGTGCACATGTTCCAGATCGCTTCACATGTGTGTTCCATCGTGGTCTTGGCAGGTCTACTTGGCCGGCAGCGTTTGCGAACTGTCCGAGGTTCGGAACAACGAGAGGCTGGCCCTGATTCGTTTATCATCAGAATCAAGAATCAAGCACTGTAATGGAGAATGATAGCAGTCTGATAACAAAAGTACTGTTATACTCATAGTCATAACTATTTTTGGCCTTAGTCCGTCTTCACCTGCCTTTATTTCTGCTGTGTGATTGGAAGAGTTAAGAGGGTAGACCAACATGATCTGCTTGGTTTGTGCTAAGTGTGGTGTCGATGGAGAAGCATGCCCAGCATCTTCTCGCGATCTGCGCTCCTTTGTCGGATGAGAGCCATTCTATTATGTTAACTGTATCATGTTCTGTTATGTTAGAGTATATTATGTCTTGGGTCATCGTGGGCCTCCGTGCGTGGCGGCTCGAGTATTTGCAAAGTTCGACCGGCTCGCAGGCGTGCCGGAATGGAAAGCCCTACCTTGAGCAGGAGGCACAACAAGCTGACCATAGATCCAGATCGGGCTGAGCGCCGCCAGAGTGCGCAAGGGCTCTTCAATGCTAAAACAAGAGCCAGCTTCACTCCGGAGCAAGTTGCTGAATGCAGAGAGCTCTTCCAGATTTTCGACAAGAACGGCGACGATAAGATCGACAAGTCGGAGTTTGTCCCGATGATGAAGGCTCTCGGATTGAACCTCAGCAGTCAGGAGCTGGACATGTTCTTCACTCGGATGGACTACAACGGGGACGGCAGCGTGCAGTTCCACGAGCTCGTGAGGTTCCTGGAGGGCATCTCCCAGCCAATCACGTTGGAGCAGGAGATCTTGACCTATGAGAGTAGATTGAACACATATAGTCTGCCTCGGTTATGTAGTGGACACCCTGGAAGGTACCTATTCCCGCACGCCACGCAACCACACGCACCTAGTTAACTTTTTTCCTTGTTGTGAGTACACGTCCCAGTGTGAGGGTCAACAAAAACATGTAGACTCAGAACCTTTATTACGGCAATATTATTAAGCACAATACAACAACAATAATCACAATCTCAATAGCCACAAAGAATAACAGTAATAATCAATGATAGTACCAGCAATGCATGATCATTGTTTTTTCATGTTTCCTCTCAGAGGAGCTCAAGGAGGCCTTCGCCTTTTTCAACCCTGACACACTGGAGATGGAGCCACACGAGAGCCTTGAAGTGACCTCGTCCAGAAGAGTCTTTGGGTTTAGGGTTTAGGGACTTCTGTTGGGGCTTTGGTGTGTATGGTTTTTGCGGTTAGGGTTCAGCAGGCAAAGTCTTGCAGGTCTTGAGGTTCGAATGACTTTTTCATGGGCCCGCAGCCGCAGTAGCTGAAGTTACTAAACTGTCGCGGCTTAACATGTCCAACAGATCTCTCCACCCCTTGCGGGGGTCAGGCTTTGAGAAGGGGAAGGTCATCGAACCCCGCCCCTTCCATCCTGATCGTTCGGAGCTCCACTGAAACTTGAAGCCAGGTCATCAACCAGAAAGGGTTGGCACAGATCTTTGAGGAGATGGGTGAAGACATCAGCGAGCTCGAACCAGGGCTGCTTAAAGTCAGGCTTGCAAGGACGATCAGGGATCTCATGGTAGGTTCCGTTCCTGCCGAGTCTAGACCGTATGCAGAAATTGAGGCGTTCGGAGTCAAGGGTTGGATCGTGGTAAACAAGTCCTGGGAAATTAGCGTTGCATGTGGCCAGTAAGATACTGCACATACAGTTCAGCACAGCAAGAAGAAGCACGAACTGCTCGAGAGGTGGCATGTAATCGGAATCTGCGCGGTACACTGAAAACTGCATGTTCAGTTCAATTCTGCAAGTGGAGGGATCGGCGGCACGGTGGGTCGGTTAAGCGACTGAACTTTCGACACTTCGCAAGAAGTGGTGAATCGACGCGAGTGTGAACTGCCCACCTGGATGTGGCTTCCATGGGAGGCTTCGCGGCAATGTCATGGGCAATGCCACAACACTTTCGTCCCGGGGAGGATATCCGATGCCATGCTTACTTGCGCACAGGAGGGGTTCGCGATTCTTTCTCACTGCACAGACTCCGATCGCAATGCTTGGGGTTTCCAAATCGCCTCATAGCAAACTAGCCCCTTCTTGCACTCTCCGCGATCGCCAAGGAGTGCCGAGAGATGATCTTGGCTGCAACTGGAGGGAGGGAGGCCGCAAAACTTGAAGCGTGACAGTGCCAACACTGAGTGGTTATTTGGCATGGCTTGGCGCAGTGATGTAAATGGATTAATTACGGTGACCACTTTTAAACATGT